TATATATATATATATATATATATATATATACAAAAATAAATTGATTTTCATATTGATTAATATTATATATTATTTGCATTAATAGATTTTTAATTTTATAGAAATAATTAATAATACAAATCTTTACAATTTCAAATTTACATAAGATGCATAGAATTATTAGCTAAAATTTGATTAAAAATATTTATTAATATTTTATAATTCAAAGTTTTATCATTAAAAATTTTATAAATCAACAAAAATATTATTATTTCTATATATTTATTCTTAAAACTATTTTAATATTATGTTATTATATCTAATAGTTAAATTTGCATTCAAATTATAATGAAATTTATTGCAATTTAATAAAAATAATAATAATAATATCTACTTTTTTATAAAAATTTATAAAAAAAGAATTACTATTATTATCATAAACTATTATTATTAATAGTGGTTTTCTTAATACTTGTTACATTATTATTTTATTAAAAAGTAAAAATTAATAATCATGTGATATATAAATAATATATAGTTACACATATACAAACATGGAATTTTTAATAATTTTTAATAAAAGAATTTTGTAGTATAATCTACATATAAGATAAATTTTGGCTGCTCTTTATAAACAACTAAATGTATTTATTTGAATAGCATAAAATTTTCTGTATTTTAAATTTTATATAATAAAATAAAATATACAGTTTAAAATTGTTGCTATATTTTTAGTAATAATAAACAAGATTTTGATAATATAAAACATGTGCGTATTATAATTAAAAAATGATTTTACAAATTTTGTAATACTTTTTAATAATACAGTGGATTCCGATTATTTGGGACATTGAATCTCTTGACCTGATTAATTAATCTATTTATGAGAAATATACATTAAATATTTGTATAGGGCAGGTAATCTTTTATTTTGTCCAATATATAATAATTTTTTCAATTATAAATTATTATATAGCATTTTATTGTGTTACATATTATTACATTCTAACTTGAAAAATTAAAAAAAAAAACAATTTTTAAAAATTACAATATTCAACATATTCTATTTGATTCTGAAATATATGCACAATTAACATTAGTTAAAAAAATTCCTAGAAAAATAAAATTATAATGAACAAAAACAAAAAAAAAAGAATGCAAAATATAAATAGTGCGACTTAGAAAAGATGACAAGACAAGGGAATGATTGGTTATTTTTAATTAGATCCATACAATTATATAGATAAGCATATGTTTTGATTAAATAAAATTATATAATATGATAACTATGGATGGAATGAGGGAGGAAAATATTCCTTGTATTGTCCCTTGTTATCTTCTCTATACTATTAGAATCATCTATTACAATATGCTGTCCCAATTAAGAGGAAAACTACAAATGATTAATTTTTATTCTTTAAGCTTAATCTCAAATAAATGACTGCCTGATTAATTGGTGGCTCAAATAAACGGAATCTTCTATATAAAAATATTTATATAATAATTTATAATAAATTACATTATGCTGTAATTATCAAATTTTCAATAAATATTCTATGTTTTTACATTACAACAATATTATTTAACAATCATAATTAAATTTAAACGAAATATTATATAATACAATATATAATATAAATTAACGTGATTATAAAGAATGAAATTATATTTTTATATTACACAAACAAAAGTATATTTTTATTTTTTTCCAGATTTACACTTAGTCGTTAATGTATAATTAATGACTAGAATATCTTTGGAAAAAAACAAATTCATTATATATTACATTATTGATTTTTTTTGGCCTCTGATATGCTATATTTACGATCTTTTAAATTAATTACAACTACAGTGATATTGTCAGCAGAACCCCTATATATAAAAAAAACAAATGTATAATGTATAAAACAACTAAATTGATTAAAGAAAATTGTAAATTTAAATTATATATTATTACCTGTAATAACTTTGTAATGTAATACTTTTTGCACCAAAATGTGGTTCATTTATGCGTTCTTTAATAAACGCAACAGCCTCTTCATTTGTAAATGTATCCCATAACCCATCTGACGCCAAGACAATAAACATTGGATTATGATCACTAAGATCAAAAGTTAAAATATCAGGATCAGCAATAACTAATTTTTTATCCTTTAATGGATAATCTCCTAAAGCTCGAGAAGTTGCTAATATACCAGCAACTCTCCACACACCATTGAATGTCACTAAACCACCAGCTTTATTTATTCTTTTTCTTTCTCTTTCCTAGAAATTATTTTTAAAAATGAAATATATTTTAGTAATAAATACGATTTATTTAAATAAAACTGTACTTGTTGTGGTTTATGATCAAAAGATAAGGGTATAGCATTTCCTCTTCCATCACACATCACACCTCTTGAATCTCCAACATTTGCTACAATTAATTTATTGTCTTCTAGAAGAGCAATCAAAGCAGTTGTGCCTTATAAAAATTTTAAAAAATTATTTTTAAATTTAAAGAAATTTAATAAAAATTATAAAAATATATATATGATTACCAGCTATATCCATGTTTTTCTTAGCAGCTTCAACTAATAATCTATCCACTGCTAATACTTCATCAGTTAATAATCTACCATAGTTTATTTTATTTCCATCAAGATAATTTGCAATATCTATTTTTTGAGGCTTTTCTGTTGTTCTGCATGGTCTTATCTTACAATTAAAACAAAAAAATAATATTTTTTTGTAACTTATGTTTAAAAAATAATAATTAATCATACTTCTCTTGTTATTGGTCTTTGTAAACTATCCAATTTATCAAGCAATTCTGGATCAGTTACATCAACATTTTTTTTACAATCATCTGTCAATGATGTGCTCACAGTTTTACGAAAAGATTTTTTACGTTCAAGATATCCTACATCACTTTTTTCTTCCTTTTTTGCTATTTCTTCATTTTTCTGTATATTTTCTGATACATATGATGTTTTACCAGCTATCATATTTTTCAATTCAATCACTTTTTTATTAATATTTGGAATAAGTTTATCACGAGCATAATTTGCTGCAAACTATTAAAAAAAAATATATATCTTTATTTTGTATTTATAAATATTAAAAAGATTTAGAATATTAGCATATCAATATACTATATATTTTAATAATATCTTTTGCTATATTTAAAAATAGTGACAAATAATAAACTACAATTACATTAACTATATAATTTAACTATCAATATACATTGTATTTTTTACTAAAAATATTAATATATGAAGAACATAATGTTTCTGTTAATTTATTTTTGCATGCATACTATTATAATATTTAAATTTTTTATTTAAGTAATTATATAAATAATAACAAAAATGTAATAACATTTGAAATTAATCTATAATGATGTAAATTCTAAATAATTGATATACATATGTTTACTTATAATATAAGTATTTATATATTGTTGAAATCTATATTTTGATTTTATATTTTTTAATTTAATTTTCTATTATTATGTCTGAATAAATTTACCATTGCAAGAAATTTTTACCTTATTTTTGTGCCTCTAATCTGCAATTTTGAAAGACTATCATCACATCATATCAGTAATATTATAAAAAAATTACAATAAGAATTTAAAATATTATATAAAATTTCAATAAATGAACCTTTTAAAAATATTATTTTCAATAAATAAACTTTTAAAAATATGCTATTAATGTTACAATTGATTAAATTTTTATAATATTTAAATAAATTTCTTGAATATTTTTTAACTTACTTCTCCACCATGTCCATCAAATATTGCAAATAAAGATACACCTGTATTGTTCATATCTTCATTTACAACAAAACGATCTTCCATACGAGCTCTATGACCTTGAACTGCATATGCAGCAATATGTCCTTGTTTTAATTCCCAACTAAGTTTCACTCCATTATTTACAGAATCATTAACTAAAAATTGTAGTTTTGATACCTAAAAAAGATAAAATATTAAATAATAAACAATTTTTTAAATAAATATTTATAAAATTCAATTATATAACTAATGTTATCTATTTAATTACAAATTATATATAATTTATTTTTTAATTTACATACTTTTGATGTTGTACGACCAAGCGTATATTGAATTCTACCTAACAATGATCGGCTCCATACATCAACAGCTTGTATATAAAATAAAATTATTGCCAAAACTGCACCACAAATTAACACTTCTGGTTTAAATGCATACACTCTCATGATCCTCCAAAAATAACCCAAAGGAGTATTTATTCCAGCATTTAATCCTGTGGGAATACCCACTGCAAACTTTGATACTAGCTTCATGTATGATACATATGTCTGTTACACAATCCCATAAATATAAAATTAATGATAGTGTTTGATATTTATAAACAAAATTTTATAACTGAATTTCAAATGTTCAAACATATTCAGATAAATAAATATTATTATCTACTATTGATTAATAAAAAAATGGGAGATGAACTTAGACTGTCTTATACAAAAATTTGAGAGCAATCAATCTATTTTTGAATACAAATCACGCGAAATTATAGATCGAATAAATGTTCTTACAAAAAATATTTTTCTAAAAAAAACAAACATACTTGGTTATTTTTATTTATTACCTGATATAAAATCTTGTCTTCTAGTTCGTCATCCATAATCTAATACAAAAAATATCTTGAATTAAGCCAGTTTTTTTATAAATTTGTATGTCAATTATGCTGATAATTATTTGTGAACAAATAAATATTATAGAGCACCAAATATGCATGAAAATTATAAAAAATTAAAAAATTATCGAAAATTCGTATAATCGTTCGTTTCAAAAAACCTTTAAGAGTTTCAGGAAAAAATCTGTACACTATTTAGTATCTACAGCAGACGATGCCAAATTACAAACGTTGCTGTAGATAGATGTTTGACCTCACGCCGCAATTTTAAACATTATTAAGCGGCATTACAATATTCCATATTATTCATAATTAATTAGAATTATTTTATTTATATTTAAATATTTTTAATTATATATAATATTTTTTTAACATTAAATTTAAAACATTTGTTTCTTTCAGAAATAATATAGATATAGATTAAAATAATAAAAAAAATAAAATAAAATTTGTTAAAATATAGAAAGATATAATATATTATACTTTTAATGATATATATATTTTATAATCATAATGCGATATAGATATTTTTAATCATAATTTTTGTATTTATTTATTTTTATATTATTACAATTTTTGAAAATATTTTTGCAACACAATATATAAAAATAAATAAAGCGTTTAATATTATTAAAACGAATATAAATATGATTTTGATTATTCCATTATAATGAAAACTTTATTTGGTTATAAAACTAAAAATTATAATCTATTATGATTTTTTATAATTTTATATTAATTTTATATTATTAAAAGACTAAGAATTTCAATAATATAGGATTATAATAATAATAAAAAAAAAATCATTATAAGCATTAATCAAAACTTTACAATACTTTACAAACATTTACAATATGAATTAAATTAAAACTTAAGAATGTAAAAATATAAGAAATAGAATATTTAACTATTTAACTTTATTTGATGAATAAGTAATTATCGCATAACATATATCTACAATATATATGTATTATCCCTTATGTATACTTATGTATACTTATAGTATATATAATTTCTAAGGACAATATTATATAGGTTGCAGCGTGATTAAATAGTATTTTATATAAATGTATATACCGGATATACATATATATATATACGTATATATATTTGCAGCGATGTATTATGCTATAAACTGCATAGGGAGAACTGTCATGCGTTGTTACGACGTGAGTTTAGAAGCCGCGTAAATATGGCTGCGGTAATAGTGAGTGGTTAATATTATTCGATGTAATGAGTATGCGTGATGTTCATGGTTGCTTTAGTTGGCGAACGGTGATGAGATCAATGTGTCATCAATTAAGATGAGCGAAAGGAAGTTTACCCGCGGCCTGGGTAAACCGGGAATGGCCGCTCAATTACGAGAGACTGTTTCTCAGGTAGTACGGGAAAGTACGGTACAGGTAAATTTCTCTATTTGATACATTTGCCGCTAAATTCTATACAGATTTTTTTATTATCTTTCGAAAAAAAAATATGTAATAATTAATACTAATGAAAATACATTTTCCTTTAAATTATTTATCAGGATTTTTATAATATCGTTAATTCATTATTCATAATAATTACTATCTAATTAACCCGGGAATAACTATAAATATTTCAAGCTAAAGAAGAGATAAGCATGATAATGAATATCAATTTTTTATTTGCATTTTTTAAATGTCATCCATTATTTTAATTTGTTATATAGTAAGTTTGAGATTCTTTTTAAAAATAATGTTATTCACATTGAAACATGTCCATTTATGGTAATAACTTGATTTATTGTTTGTTAATTATTTCTTTTAGTTAAAAAACAAATAATTTCTTATTTTTAGACAAAATTATATTTTTATACAAATTTATCTATGAATTAATATTTATTCTTAAATATTATCTTAAAAATTTTATGTTATATTATTTTATGTTAAAAATATACATATGTATAAATTATATACTTGTATATAATATAATTATTATATAGCTTTTAATTAAAAATATGTAGTTTTAGAATTTTTAATTATTATTATAATATTCTCTTTATTTTTTTATCATTTATCTTATAAAAATATTTTAATTTCAGAATAAACCACATTTAGTAGAACCTATAGATTTTGAAAGTTTTGTATTAAAGAATAAAACTTTATTACAAAATGATCCTCAGAGAGAGCTTCTACTATATCCTCAAGATGATGTTTCAGTGAGTAGTTTCAGAATAGATTTCTTATCTATTTAGAAAAATTTACATCCGTTGCGTGAATAGATAAATCATCATATAGGTTCATATACAAGATATTAATAATATTATGCTACTTTTAAATCTATTTTTTTTAAATTATAATATAGGATTTTTTTTTAAATTTTTTTTTTATAAAATATTATGTTTAATTTTTAATTTTTAATTATTATATTTATATTATTATTATAATATATAGATATATTTAAAATATTTAAAATATATATAATAAATAATACATACTTAATATCTAATTATTATATATATAAATAATTTATGAAAATATAATAATATATATATTTAATTTTAGTAAAAAAGAGAAAAGATATAGAAAATTATAAAAAATATTATAAAAGAATGTTCATTTAATTTTAATTATTTTTATTGTTTTCATTATATCTTTTTTTAATATAGCAAGTGGTATTACCTAGAAGATACCGTACTCTTGTACCAATTGTATCACAAACTTCAGATAATGAGGAAGGAGGAGAAAATCTTCTTACAAAAGAATGTTTACGAAGTTACACATCTAATTGGAATCTCATACATTACAAATATTCAGCATATAGTGGAACTTATCTTGAATTACCTAAGTATGCCCTTATGTTTCTAGTAATATATGTATATATAATGTATATATTAATATGTTGACAAATATTTTTAAATGTTTTAATCATAAAATAATTTAATTAATGAAATAATTTTGTATTTTAATATTACTAATTCCAATATTTTTTTGTTAATAACAAATATATAATAAAATATATTGTATTAATTTTTTTATATTTTCTTATTTTTTAGAATAGCAAAAATAGAAGATCTGAAAGATGAAGTATATGAAATTGATACAGAAGTAGATCAGGTTGATGAGGTAAAATATTTTGCTACTAATATAAATTTTAAAAATGTTAAATTAAAATTAATAATTACTATTATAATTTTTTAATACATATAATTATATGAAAAATATTAAAAAAATTTATGTTGTTAATGGATTAAATATTAAATATGTTAAATATATCAATTTTTTTATGTTATTTATATATTTTGAAAAAATTTAAAAAAAAATTTTTATTTTTTTTCTTTTTTTATATAAAAACAATTTCAGATAAAATTAATTAAATGTTTGTTTGTTTTTATAACATTAAATAACATTTAATAAAAATGCTAAGCTAATAATAAGCTAAATTCTATATTATTTAGTCCATTCATATTGTGTTTTATTATAAAGTGATAAATTTATTTAAAGAAGGTATTAAATAGTTTATTTAATTTTATTAGGAATTAACAAAGAATAATGGAATAACAAAAGAAGGTTATTTAATGAAAGGACCAGAAATTGGTAGCAGTGATCGTATGTTTGCAAATATTGGTTCAAAATCATTCAAAAGAAGGTTTTGTCATCTTCGACAAGAAGTTGATGGCACATACATTCTTGAACTTTTTAAAGATGAAAAAAAGGGTGAAGCTAAATTGACAATAGTAATGGATTTTTGTACTGAAGTTGTTAGGAATTCAAAACGTGGAAGATATTGTTTTGAATTAAGAATGAGCGGGACTCATAAATCATATACTTTAGCAGCAGATAATGAAACAGATATGCAGGATTGGTTATTAAAATTGAGCTCAGTATTACAACATTATAAACAACAAGAAGAAAAACGTGCTGCTTCATTAGAAAGAGCATGTAATACACCTCCTCCTTCTCCACAACCTATGCAGGTATTAGAAATATAAATAAACATTATTTAAATTTTTAATATTTTAAATGGACTATTTTATATATATTATATATATAATTTAATTTGGTTTTATTATTTGTAGGTTTATGGAACACTCAAAGGTTTGGAGCAAAGTATGAATCCACAATTGATAAAATATTCTAGGGAAACAGATACCAGTATAGCATTAGCGAGACGAGAAAATCGTAAACAATTATTTAATATTTATCCTCATATACCACATATTAAACAACAGCCGGGAAATTGTAATGAACAAAATATTGATCCATACAAAGAACAATTTGGACAAAGAATTTTTGTAAAATGTGAGAGTCTTAAATTCAGATTACAAGCACCAATAGATGAAAAAGAATCATTATGTCAAGTGGAACCTTATCAAACTACATTAAGCCTTTATGATGCAAGAAATGGTAGAAAACTAACTGAAAATTTTCATTTTGATATTAATCATGAAGTTATTCAAGAAATGGTAAAAGAATTGAGTCCTGTAGGTATTATGACAGAATCTACAGAAAATGTTAAATTACCAAATGACTTGAAAAATATACCATTAGATTGGATTAAGTATCCAAAACAGGTTTGTTTTTTTTTATTATTGAATTTTTATTATAATATTATTAATATTATTCTATATCAATAGTTATCTATATTTTCTTAGGCCATATTTAGTATTAGTAATCCTCATCCTGATATATTTTTGGTTGTACGAATAGATAAAATATTACAAGGAAATATATGTCAAACTTCTGAACCATATTTAAGGGCTACAAAAGATCCACGATTAGGTTTAAAGGTACATAAACAAGTTAGAGCATGTTGCCAAAGGTAATCTTATATATAATTATATTTAAAAATTGTATATTTGTCTGTGTAATATGTTTTGTGTAATAATTATAATTAAAAACAGATTGGGAAATTATAGAATGCCATTTGCTTGGGCTGCTAGACCATTATTTAGATTATATAGTAATGAATTAGATACGTCATCAGATTTTCCTGCAATATACAGGCAAGAAGGGAATAAAATAAAAGATGAAGAATTACTCAAACTTCTTTCAGAATATAGAAAGTATGTATTATAAATATATATAATAAGTTATTCAAATATATTTTGATATTCTTTATTATAGGCCTGAGAAACTTAGTAAATTGACTGTGATACCTGGTTGGTTAAAAATAAAAATTGAGTCAATTACAGATTTATCTGATAGTATGTATTTGAAGGATTAATATTTTTCTAATAGATATATATAATATATAATATAATATATATATAATATATTATATATATTATAATTTATTAATACATTTATTAATAATTTATAATACATTTTAATTATTTTTATTCTTT